AAATTATTCTTTATTTCAGTTAATGCCTCCTTTAATTCTAACTGTGTATCCATGATTTCTAACTGGTCCTTTTTTATGCTCTTGAGGCCCTCCCTAAGTTCACTGACGTTCTCACTAAGTTCAATGAGCATCCTTATAAGCAGTATTTTGAACTCAGTATCTGTAAGGTTGCTTATTTCCATTTCGCTTAGTTCTTTTATTGGGGTTTTGTTCTCTTCTTTCATTTGGGACCTGTTTCTTTGTGTCCTAATTTTGGCTGCCTCCCTATGTTTGTTTCTGTGTATTACTTAATGAGAGGTATGGGGCTCGCTGAGACCAGATGCTGCTCGTTTGAATGAATTTAGGAAAAACCTGAAGCAGGATCCAAGACAGGCCAATCCTATGGTTAAGCAAGTGGCAACAGCTTGGGCGGGCCTGAAAGTTGGGTGGGGCGGGGCCTCAGGGAATCACCAGGGCGAGGCTACCAGTGTGAGCCAGGTTGCTGGAGTCCCAGGTATGGAGACTGTCTGCTGCCCCCGGGAAGGGCTCACCAAAGGAACAAAGGCCTCTGACAGCACGATTGTCCCCGAGAAAGCCCCCTCTCCAGTGCCAAACAGCTCAGTTCTTCCCCGTATGTCTCTGGCGCCCCTGCAGCTGCTTCCCCTCCAAGCTTAGAGGGAGTCTGATAAGTCCGTGTGCGGGCCTTTTAAGGAGCTGCCTGGGGCTCCAGCCGCTTCAGCCTCCCTGAGCCTCAGTTCCCGCTGGTTTTTCCAACCAGAAGTTATGGGGACTTCTCTTCCTGGCACTGGAACCCGGAGTGGGGCACCTGGTGTGGGAAGGGGACCCCTCAGTCCTCAGGAAGGACCTTCCCAGACGTGGGAGCCTCCTGATTTTTATCCGCCACACGTGGGTGTGGGACCAGCTGGTTGTGCCGCCGCCGCCCCTCGCGCCTCCGCCCCTCCTACCAGTCTGGATGTGGCTGCTGCTTTAATTCCGTAGTTGTAGGACTTCCATTCAGCTTGATTTCAGGCGGTGTTGAATGATGGTTGTTCTGTAGTTTAGTTGTAACTTTGATGTGGTTGTGGGAGGACGCGATACCGCGTTTCTCAGTGATTACTTCTCATCTGGTTCATAATTCACACATGAATAAGAATGGAGCATAGTGGGCAAAGTATGGTGATTCTACTTCTTCCTGAAGTATTTTCAAGTCCACAAATGTATTCCCTTGTGTTCAACTAGTCTCTCTTTTAAAATATTTTTAAATTGATTTTTAGAGAGGGAGGAGAGAAACATCAATGTGAGAGCTAAACATCGGATCGGCTGCCTCCTGACCCCAAAACCCAGGCATGTGCCCTGACCAGGAATCAAACCAGCAACCTTTCCATGCACGAAATGACACCCAGCCGAGTCACACCAGCCAGGGCTCAACTATTCTTATCACTGTTGTGTCTGTAGATTCATTCTCTTTCTCCCTGAAAACAAAACAGAAACTGTGTCATCCTGTTAAAAACATTTTCCCCACCCATTTGCTTAAAGGAGTCATTTCTGCTCACCAAAGAAGAAAGAAGTGCTCTTCTTTCAATTCTTTTTCAGATAGCTTCAGCCCGATCCTGCCCTCGCCATTCCAGTGACACTTTGCTGGCAGGATTACTGGAGATCTATCTGCAGACCTGTTTGCCTCTGTGGAACCTAACATCACTGTGACCTTGGTCCTGTTACCTCTCTGACCATTTTTTCATTGCTACCTTGGTTCCTTAGATGTTTCCCTGAGTTTTATTTTTATCCTTTTCCACTTTAATTTTATCTTGAAGTAATCTCATCTACATGTATGGTCTAAATATATACTAATTCTTAAAAATTTACCTTCACTTAATATTTTTTAAAACTTTTGGTTGTTGCCCTGGCTGGTTTGGCTCAGCGGTTAGAGCGTCAGCCTGTGGTCCAGAAAGACCCGGGTTCAGTTCCTGCTAAGGGCACGTACCTCGGTTGCAGTTTGTCCCTGGCCCTAGTTAGTCGTGCGGGTGGCAGCCACTCAATGTGTCCCTTTCACGTTGGTTTCTCTCTCTCTCTCTCTCTCTCTCCCTCCCACACTATCTGAACAAAAAATGGAAAGATTCTTACCTAAATCCTATTTATTCCTCTAGTCCTAGAGGAATTTATTGTTCTTATCTGTACTTCCACACTACTTTTTTTTTGTTAATCAAAACCCAAGGGGAGATTATATATATATATATATATATTTTTTTTTTTATCCTCATACGAGGACATATTTGCATTTATCTTCAGACAGAGTGGGAGAGAGAGAAGGAGGAAAAGAGAGAGAGAAACATGGATCAACTGGTTGCCACCCACATGACCCCAAACAGGGCCAGGGACAAACTGCAACAGGTACGGGCCCTTAGCAGGAACTGAACCCAGGACTCTCTGGTCCGCAGGCTGACGCTCCGAGCATTGAGCCAAACCAGCCAGGGCTACCCAAGGATATTTTTCCATTGATTTTTAGAGTGGGAGGGAAGAGAGAGAGAAACATAGATGTGAGAGAGACACACTGATTAGTTGCCTCCCACACGACCCCGACCAGGGCCCATGCCCAAACTTGCAACCCAGGTATGTGCCCTTGATCGGGAATCAAACTCATCGCCCTTTGGTCCACAGGCTGATGGTCTAACCGCTGAGCAAAACTGGCCAGGGCACACCACATTGTATATAACTTTTAGCACCCAAACTGGAAATTCCCCATAATCCCAGATAATTTTTCCAGCTCAAGATCCTTAATTGACCTGCCCAGCCAGTGTGGACCAGTGGATTGAGCATCATCCCATGGACTGAGATCTCTGGTCTGGCAAATGCCTAGGATGCTGGCTTGATCCCCAGTAGAGGGCCTGCAGGAGGCAGCTGATCAATGGTGACCAATGTTTCTATCTCTCTCCCTTCCTTTCTCTAAAAAAAAAAAAAAAAAAAATCAATGAAAACATTGAAAAAAAAAAAAAAACCTTAACTGAATCATGCCTGCAAAGCTCATTTCTGTTGATCCTCCTCACCCAAGGATCATTTTCCCACTGATTTCTAGAGTAGAGAGAGAAACATTGCTGTGAGAGATAAACATCGATTGCCTCCTAAGCACCCCCAACTGGGGCTTGAACCTATAACCCAGGCACATGCCCTTGAATGAGAATCGAACCCGTGACCCTTCAGTGAATGGGCCCATGCTCTAACCACTTAGCAACACTGGCCAGGGCTGCAAAGCTTATTTAAAAGTAACTATAACGGGTTCCAGGGATCAAGATGTAGCTATCTCTGGGGCACCATCATTCTTGCTTGCAAAGAGACTTCAAGAATAGATAGAAAAACTTGAATGTAGTATTTATTTGGTGAATTTACATGTGAGGTCATTTACAAAAGTAAAGGTACAGATGCAATGTTCAGTGCAGGTTCAAATATTTTTCAGAACAGGCAATAGTCCATGAGGATTTGGAATGACAGTATTGAACGGCACATGCTTCAGTTTCCTTTGTGTGGTTTTCTACCCAACCCCACGGGGTAGAAAGGGAGAAGAGAAGAAAGTATCAGTGTTAATGTAAATACAGCCATGCAAATAAAAACTTTTTTCTTTAAGTCACAAGTTACTCAGAGATGAACATTTCTGTATTCAGGGATTATTGTAGGAGCACCGTCTAAGAACTAAAATGCAGAGCTCTCATACTGTCCATTATCCAAATCATTTTAAATTATAGTAACTACCCCTACTCAATATTTAGAGGCCCCTCAGTATTTTCCAGACTCTGATTTTGGGAGTCATTCTAATAGTTTCTAAAAACATGGCATTTATAGACAATCTTTTTGGTTTCAATAGGATAAAGTACCCTTTAAAAGGGGGGTAAAATGCTCCTTTACTCTCAACAATGTAAACTAATTTGATTTCATTTCCAGAAAAAGGTAACTCAAGGCTTGATGTTTTATTATTCTCAGGCTTAAATAAACCTCTCCCCAGCCTGGAATATCTCAAAACAAGAGACCCCTTAAGAACACAACCACCAGAGAAATGCAGCATATATGCAAAACAATTATCCATAAAAGTGACAACTAGAAAAAATAAAAACATGAAGTGATTTCTAAGAAAGAAGGTAAGATGAGATAAAATGAACAACAAAAATCTGCTGTCGGTATCCCTAGTGAAGACCTTGATGTAGGCAGTCAGCGAGCCATACAGAACAAGGTTAACTCAAAACCAAAAAGCATTCCACAGGTCCTCAGCATCTTTAAAAAACTGGCTCAGAATTCCTCAAGCACATTCAGCCATAGCCGAAGCACGAAACGTCAGAAAATACTATGCTTCTGGCTCTAAGAATTACATCCTTTTTGAAACTTTAGCCACATTTTCTTCATTATAGTTTTAAGCTAATTAAATACTCCCATGTATCGTACTGCATCTTTATACATACAAACAACCTGCATTTTCTTGGCAAGGGACACAATTTAACAGCACTTATTACAGAAAATAGCCATGGGCAGTTAAAACACATTTCCATTTCACCTTCTTACCTGGTCCACTCTCCCATTAACTCAGTCTTCCAGCACATATATCAATCAGAATATTTGCTTCTGCATAATTTACTATGAAAACCAGCTGTTGTAGACTTTAAGAATGATGTACATTATCCTTTAGAGTTGAAGGGGGTCAAAAGGCTAAATAGTTGCCACCTTGTCTAACATTGTGCAGAATTAGAGGCATTATACATGCTGACAGTTGTTTAAAGGGTCTCAAATTTGCTGCCTTAAAAACAAAATCCACATTTAGGCTTTGTTTCCTTTTTTAAAAAAATTACTAAAAGGGATTAATTGAATCTAAAAGAAACCTATTTTACAACATTTACTCTAATTTTAAAACCAACATGCTATAAAGTTCTTGTATTACACACACACGCAGACAAAAATCACCCAGAACGTAATCATCCCCCAACCCTCCTCAAAAAAAAAAAAGCCAAATCAACAAATCAAAGTTTTTATTTGCATGGCCAATCATCATTTGTACTCTTTGCAACTTTAGTAACCCTTTAACAGGTCGTAAGCTTTTGCACAGGGAATAAAGCTGCAACACTGCACACTTCCTTCAGCAGCCACTCCCACACCTAAACATGGAACAGATGTAACGAATGACAGCAGCACAAACAGGAAATACTAAGTTCCACCATTCAACATAGTTCATGACAATGTCTTTAGGGTTCAGTTGAAGAGGATCATGTTCCCTCCCCCTATTTTATAATGTTGGTGGTTTTAATCCGTATTTCTTTGCAACTTCTGTCTGTGCATGGGCAGCATCGCAGAGTGAGTACAGATGAGCCATCTCCATTTCCGATTTGGCCAGGTTAATAGCTTTGTTGAACATGTCAATGGCTTTCTCCATGTTTCCTCTAAAAGGACAAAATTTTTAAATGTTTCATTCAACAAGCACCTCACAGAATGCATGCAGTGAAGTTAGTAATGTTAATGGAGTCTGACCAGTAAGTTTCAACTGTAATTCTAATAAAATGCTTTTTAATAACAAAACAATGCACATAGAAAGTGCTCAATGAATGCTAGCAACAATTACAAACACCAAGTGTTTATTATTATAACTCTTGTAGTCTTGTTTCACAGACAAGAACAGTGAGAGTAGAGGAATTAAATGACTTGTTTACAATCTTCCTGTCTGGTTCCTACATTCTATGTGCTTCTCCTGTACCATGAAGCTCCTCTGGAAAGACGGCCTCACAGAATAGCAATGGCTCTTGGGGGCCTTATCTTCGCAGATCTGTGAGCCCACCTTCCTGTCACCTCATCTCTCACCACCATGTCCTGTCCTTTGCACCTCTGCTGCAGTCGCCCAGTTCCACCCGAGTTCCCTGACGAGGCTCTTTGAACAACTTAAATGCAAAGTGTTTTTATATGTGTATCATTCTAAGAAAAATCCACAGGTTTGCTCAGGAAGATTAAAAACAGCTACCCCATCCTATTCTAACAAGAATATTTCATTCACATTAACAAGCTGGCAATTAAGAAACAATTTAATATTTACATGCAATCATCAGTACAGAATGGTTCAAAAGAACCACAAAATTTTTCATCAGTCTAGAAATATTCTGCCTACTCTGGAGCAGAAAGAGGACCCCAGGAGGGGCTGAATGACAGGAATCAAGACAACTCCTACTGGTTCCTGACAAGATCAGTTACTTTGGTATCAGTGAAGCATGGGCTCACCTCCTGTCTACCTGGCTCACTGTGTAACCTTGTCAACTTCACCAATATGGGCATCAGTTTCTGTACTCTTCATTTACACCAAGGATCATATAACCTCCACCTTCCAATTATATAGACTGGTGTAAAGATCAATTGAAATATTTGGAAAACACCTGAAGTTCAGTACTTGGCCACAGAGTAGGTACTCGAGTGGATGACAATTCCAGTAATAAGATAGTATTTACTACACTGACTTCTATGACATAATCAATTGTCACCTGTTAATGGTGGACCTCAAGTGCAACTCTGGATAAACATTTACACAAAACAAAGTTATGGGAAGTCAGAGCTGCAAAAAACCTTATCCAACTCCCCAATTTTAAAGAAAACTCAGGGGCTCAGAGATGATGTTGCAACTTGCCCAGTCACTTGGCTGGTTGCTTCTCTGCAGCGAGATCTAGATCTCTTGGCAACCTAGATACCAATCCGTACACGACACTGAATAATACAGGTGAAAAGAGGACAGAACTCACAACAGAGATTAGAAAAGGAGCAATGTCCCCTTTGTAATATATTTGCTTGGCTTAAATAACTTTTATAAGTGTGATCTTGAAATTGAAAAAATAATAAAAGAAGGCAAATAAAAGCTATAGTTTTGAGGGAAGCTTGCCTCAAAAGGCATAACATATTCAGACAAAAATTTAATAGATACTTAAAATCTATAATGAGAAGAATTAAAAGATAAAATATCTAAGGAGCTGCCCTAAATTTCCTAAGAACAGACTTTGGAAGTTACCTTTGCACTTCAATAGTTCCCATGGTTTCATAGGCAAAATCACATTTACTATCAATTTCAATAGCTTTGCTGATAAGCTCCAAACCTCTATCCAGATCTTGCTTCCACTGAAGTTGAAGTAAACTGCAAATGCAAAAAGGCAGTCAGTCAGATGTGACCATGGACCAGGAGCAACAGGAATATAATGTATGACTCGATTTCTCCCTCAATGAATTTATAATTTAATTTGTAAGAAAAAAACCAAATCTAAAACAGTATATAATCAGCAAATTGTTTTTTCTCAATTTATATTCATTTTATAGTCTAAATTCCTTATTATGAAAAAAGTGTCAATGGAAACAACCTAAGTGTCCATTGATGTATGCTTGAATAAACAAAACATGGCATCATACACAGACAGAGGAATATTACTAAGCCATAAAAAAGGAATCCTGCTATTTGCAACAACATGGATGAAACTTGAAGGCATTATGCTAAATGAAATAAATCAGACACAGAAAGTCGAATACTGTATATGATCTCATTTATGTGTAGAATCCAAAAAACCAACCAACCTACTCACAGATATAGAGAATAGATTGATAGTTGCCAGAGGCAGGGGATGACATGAGGGGTGGGTAAAACAGTTGAAAGGAGTCAAAAGGTACAAACTTCAGTTATAAAATAAGTAAATCAAGGCAATGTAATGTACAACATGGTGACTATAGTTAATACTGTACTGTATATTTGAAAGATGCTAAAACAGTGGTAGATCTTAAAAGTTCTCATTACAAGAAAAAAAATTCTCTGTATAATGACGTTGGACTTATTGTGATCATTTCACAATAAATATGAATACCGAGTCATTACGTTGCACACCTAAAACTAATATAATACCATGTCAATTATACCTCAATAAAAAAGAAAGAAGAAAATATCTAACAGTTTGGGCTCTATTACTAACTTATGAACCTAATTTTTTACTTTGTATAAACTTAAGTGAAATTTCTTTCCAGTGTACAAACACAGAAAAACTTATTTTAAATGTTTCTTATTTTGACACTGGTAACATTTGACAGGATGTTCAGAACTGAAATCCTTAAGCTAAAGAGAAATAGTACATTTATTAATTGCTATACAAGAATGAAACATAAGTAAATTAAAAAAAATTAACAGTGAAGCATCCACACATTAATAAATGTCGATAAACTCACTGATACTCCTTCCTCAATGACCAAAAGAAATCTTATCTTATTACTATGCAAGAAATGTAGTTTCTTACTGGAACAAACAGAACCACAAAAATACATACCCTTTATGAACATATGTTGTGGCATTATCTGGTTCCAAATCAATACATTTATCATACATTTCATCAGCTTTACCAAACTGTTGTTGATCTGTTAATGCCTATGTGAGGAGATACTTCAGTTATATTAACGTAACTGTCAACCTAAACAGTTAAAAGTATATTTCTTATTAATTATGAAAATTTACTTCATTTTTCTGTTTCTTACCAAATTATGATGTTTGGGGGATATAAATTTATTTTAAATGTTATAACTTAATTATTGGGGATTTTACATGGCACTGTTATAAATATGATATCTTAACTGCCCTGTTTTTGACAACGGGTTACATGCAATAGCAAACAACATGGCAAACTGTAGAATACATAAAACCCCACTCTTGGTGCCAGTTCTAGTATCAGATTTTCATAGGTACATTCATGTCACTTATTCATAACTTATCAAAATATACCCTTAACGGAATTTAAAGACAATATTTATTTGGAAGGATAAGTTCAGGTATGTGTGTTAAGTGTCATCAGTCATTCCTTAAAAACTGATGAAAGAGGAAAAGCAGCTACAATTAACTATTTAGGCAAATCCCATGGCAGATATCAAAGGGCTGGTTATGCAGATACCAGATCATGCTCAAACTGTAACTTTGAGAGCTGCCCAGCATCTAAGCCCAAACTTTTCGAGTTTTTTTAAAAAGTTGTATTATGTAACGATATATAACTATATGTGTTATGTATGTACATACAAATTACATATAACTATATATAGTGAAGCAAAAATAAGAGAAACCAAAGGATAGACATTTGAGTACAAACAGACTGTAATGGTGCTAGTGCTGACAACATAGCTCAAGAAAGCCAAAACCTATTTTGAAGGTAGCACAGTGACAGGGAAATGAGCAATTAAGAAAGCTCTAGGAGAGCTATTCCCAAGACTGGTTTCTTTAAAAAAGTACATACTTTCACAATTAATTAAGTAAAGCAGGTAGTCAGCAACCAATGTTTCTTATTTTTTTACTATCAACAACCCTGAGTAGGAATTGTAAAACAAAGACTAAATAGATAAGATTGCTTCTAATTGAGGTTAAAGAACTTCTGTGTTTACTTCATACCCTAGAGGATTATTGGAGAATTTCAATCTCTGAGAATACAGTGATATGTACAACTATAAACCTCAGAGTTTCACTCTGTGGAACTTTTTTCTTTAACTTAAGATAGCATGAATGAACTTAAAAAGGAAAACAACCTTAAGAATGGTTTGGAGGTAGAAATCTACCACAGATGGTCATTTTTCTTTCTTTCTTTTTTAATATGTTTTTATTGATTTTTTTAGAGAGGAAGGGAGACAGAAATGTGGATGTGAGAGAGAAACATCGATTGGCTGCCTCCTGCACACCCCCTACTGGGGATCGAGCCTGCAACCTGGGCATGTGCCCTGACCGGGAATCAAACCAGGACCTCTCAGTCCATGGGACTATACTCAATCCACTGTGCCATAACAGCTGGGCACAGAGATGGTTATTTTTATTTTTATTATTTTTTAATTATCACCCGAGGACATTTTTCCATATTTTGTTCAGATAGAGTGGGAAGGAGAGAGAAACATTGACGTGAAATGGACACATCGAGTGGTTGCCACCCACACGACCCAACCAGGGCTGGGGATAAACTGCAACTGAGGTACGTGCCCTTGATGTGCCCTTGACAGGAACTGAACCTGGGTCTCTCTGGACCGCAGACCGACACTCTTAATTGCTGAGTCAAACTGGCCAGGGCGAGATGGTTATTTTTTAATGTTTCCTATTTATGAGATGTGCAGGTGTGTGTGACATTTCTTTGGAATGATAACAAAAAAAGATAGAAAAGAATCATATAGAGTATTGAGATGGATAGTTTATGCAGATACCAAAAGCAACTTTTAACTTAAAGACTAAGAGAAAACAGTTACTCAGAAATCATTAAGTTGGATGAAAACGTCTAACTGGCTATACGAAACTATCATTTTCGTTGGACCAGTGTGGTTCAGTGGATTGAACGCTGTCCCATGGATTGAGATCCCGAAACCGGTCAGCGCACATGCCCAGGTTGCGAGCTCGATCCCCAGTAGGAGGCAGCTGATTGATATATCTCTCTCATTGATGTTTTTCTCTCTCCCTTTCTTTCCTCTAAAATATAACATATTAAAAAAAGAGAAAAAGCAGCAGCCACTATCATTTTCATTTAAATGGCTGATTTAAGAATTTTAGATAAACCAAAGAGGAGTTAAAATGAACTATTATAGCCTAATGAATGATTTAAAAGGACAGTTGATAAAATAGAAACAAAACCCTTTCCATAGACATTTTCCCCACAAATTGAATATAATAAATTTTCGAATCCAATCCAAATGAAAACATGAAGGAAATGTTCTGCTTAAGCTCCCGCATGTTTTAAGTGTAGGGTCACAATTTTCAAATTGTATAACAAAGGAGCCCCTCCTACAGTGATGGGGGCCCAGAGAATCAAAGAAGGAACAAAGCCATCTGCTTCCACAGAAGCTGCAACTAGGGAGGCACCACTGATTTCTGTGCTGGGATTCAGCACACAAGTAACAGGTCCTTTAAAAAGGACTGGCAACTACAAAAGTGTGAAAAATCACATTACCTGGGCATATAGTGCATAGCCTTCAGCACACCTGGGAAATTTCTTTATGACCTCTTCAAAACCTTTCATAGCTGCTTGGATTTGTGAAGAATTGTTTCCTGTATATGCCTGGCGATACTGTTTAAAAAATCAAAACAGGCCTGTCAAACCAAGAACTCAAAACTCATGGAATGTTAACACATTACAAAAGTCACACAAAATTACATAAATATTTCCAGAAAGGTAGGTGATCTGCTAACATAATTGCTGCATTAAAAGGATTCCAAGGAAATAGCTCAGCAGCAGTGGATCCAAAGGCTAGGACTTCGCTGCCACTCTACACATTCCAAGATGCTCAATACTCTAGAGGAGGCATCCTAACTTGTCAGAACTTTGCATATAAATGGGGGAGTTTTAAATCTAATTTATTATCACTTTACTACAAGTGTCTAACGTCCCTTTGTCTAATATCACTGTTCATCTATAATACACAGGACCGCATTTACAACAGTATTCCTGTAAGACTACAATGGAGCTGAACAATTCCTATTGCCTAGTGACTTAGCCATCCTAACATCATGCCGCAAGGCGTTACACACGTATTTGTGGTGATGCTGGTGTAAAAAAACCTGTGCTGCCAGTCGTATAAAAGTATAGCACATACTTATGTACAGTACATACTTGATACTGGTAATAAACGACGATGTTACCAATTTATTATTTACTATTCCGTACTAAACACTTTATCGTTATCTTAGGTGTATACTTTCTACTTATAAAGTCTGCTGTGAAACCATATGCTGTATTATGCAGGCAACAGAGTCACAACCTCATGTTTACTGTGTCTCTTAACTGCATCATTTTCTTGTGTTTGATTCAATATCATGTTTTGTATAGTAACCTGCTGTAGAGGTTTGTAGCCTAGGAAGAATGGGCTATACCATAGAGCCTAGGTGTGTATCAGGCTACTGCCACCTAGGTTTGTGTAAGTGTACTCTGTGATGTTCACACAATGATGAAATCACTTAATGACACATTGCTCAGAATGTATCTGATTGTGAAGCTGGGCATAACTGTAAATGTGTTTGTGACCCAATTTTTTTTTTTTATCCTCACCCAAGGACATTTTTGCATTTATCTTCAGATAGAGTGGGAGGGAGAGAGAGAGAGAGAAACATTGATGTGAGAGAGACACATCAAGTGGCTGCCACCACACGATCCCAACTGGAGCCAGGGACAAACTGCAACTGAGGTACATGCCCTTAGAGGAAACCAAACCCGGTACATGCCCTTAGCGGGAACAGAGTCTGTGGGCCAACGCTCTATGCTGAGCCAAACCGGCCAGGGCCCAATTTCTTTCTTTAAAAAAAAAAATTAATTTAAGACTCAAGCTACAGTGTGGACAAAAAGAGGCCACATACTAAACCTGACAGGCTCAGAGTAGGCCTGCGTGGTGGCCTTACAAACTCCGAGACCGAACGTAACCATGTGTGATAGTCTGAAATTAAAATATTTTCACTAAAAGCAGTCTGTGGCAGGCAGTTGTGTCCTAGGGCACTATTTTTCCCTAAGGTGAATCGTCACCTTAACTGAACCTATCTGTTGTTCTCTTTGCATCTAGGATAACATACCTAATAAACATACCTTTGCAATAACAAGGTAATTTCCTTTTTCCCAGACCCCTCAAAACAATCACCTTACTCCTTGCTGTTACTGTTATAGTGTTAATTGTTAACTGTTAACTATCCTGTACCCACCTATGTAAGAAAAGTGTCTATCATTTTATTTTGTATCCAATCCCAGAGGTCCCCCCACCCCCCTTAATCTATCACCAATGGATTTCATGTAACCCACCTTAGCCTCCTCTTTTTTTTTTTAAATCCTCACCTGAGGATATTTATCTATGACTTTTTTTTTAGACAGAATGGAAGGGAGGAAGGGAGGTGGGAGGGAGAAAGAGAAACATCTATGTGAGAGAGACACATCTATCGGTTGCCTCCCACACAACCCCAACCAGGGTCAGTATGTGCCTTTGACTGGAAGTTGAACCCATGACCCTTAGGTCCACAGGCCAACACTATAACCACTGAGCAAAACTCACCAGGGCAAGCCTCCTTTTTTTACTGTAATGTATAAAATAAGATTCAAAACTGCCACATTTTCCTAATCCATTGAGATTTTGCTTCCTGGCAACTGTCAGCAGCTTGGTTCAAATAAACTCATAAAACTTCTTAAAGATTTGGATGTATCCGCCCTGGCCGGTTTGGCTCAGCAGTTAGAGCGTCGGCCTGCGGTCTGGAGAGACCCGGGTTCGGTTCCCGCTAAGGGCACGTACTTCGGTTGCAGTTTGTCCCCGGCCCTGGTTGGTCGTGCGGGTGGCAGCCACTCGATGTGTCCCTTTCACGTCGATGTTTCTCTCTCTCTCTCCCTCCCACTCTATCTGTACATAAAATGGAAAAATGCCCTCGGGTGAGGATAAAAAAAATAAAAATAAAAAATAAAAAAAAAAGATTTGGATGTATCTTTCTTTTTTTTTTTTTAATCCTCACCGGAGGACATTTTTTTTTTGTTCAGGTAGAGTGGGAGGGAGAGAGAGGAACAGAGAGAGAGAGAGAAACATCGATGTGAAAGGGACACACTGAGTGGCTGCCACCCGCACAACTGACCAGGGCCGGGGACAAACTGCAACCGAGGTACGTGCCCTTAGCGGGAACCGAACCTGGGTCTCTCAGGACCGCAGGCCGACGCTCTAACCGCTGAGCCAAACCGGCCAGGGCTGGATGTTTCTTATGTGTACAGGAGGTAACTGAAAGTAGCTCATTCCACTATAAATGCACTTATTTTACTTGATTTTCAGCACTGTGTTTCTGAATATTAATAGCTTTTCAAAGGTGGTATGAGAGTGCAGTTAATGTGGTATCATTATTGCAGTTATTTCTTCAAGATGATTATGTTCTCTGTACTAGTTTATGGTAGAGGAGCAGGAAGAACAGTGCTATTCAGAGGAGCATAAAAATCAAAGATAGCCCTAGTCGGTGTGTTCAGTGGTTGGAGCATCAGCCAAGGCACCAAAGGGTTGTAGATTGGATTTCTGGTCAAGGGCATGTGCCTGGGTTGCAAGTTCGATCCCCAGCCCTGGTCAGGGCAAGGGAGGCAATACATCAATGTTTCTCTTTCTCTTTCTTTCTCCCTCCCTCCCTCTCTTCCACTCTCTAAAAAAAAGCAATGGAAAAAATATCCTTGGGTGAGGATTAACAAAACAAAACAAAAAAATCAGGAAAAACATCTATCAAGATGAACTCAAATAATACAACTAGAGAAATACAGTAGCAGTAGTACCTTGATTAACATATATATATACTTCTATTTTTCTAAACTAACATGTTTTCCCCCTATAGGCACCCTCTTGGGGAAAAAGAAAAAGATAATTTTGTAGACAATGACACTCATTTTTGTTAACAATGGGGAAATAAAAGTGATATTTAGGAATATACAGAAGAAAGTAGAACCTACCAATGCAAAACATTTCTGAGCTTGTGCCAGAGCAGACTCAGGCCTTAATCTAATACATTCATCAAAATCAGCCACTGCTTCTTCAACTTGATCAAGCAGTATTTTCAGCTAAGAATAAAAAACATAAAAAAAAAATAACTAAAATAATAGTTTCACCACCCATTAAGTACATACTGTCTCTTATCACAGCTTAGCATATGCTAAGCATGTAGTAATTATTCAATATAGAATTACTTTCTAGAAACAGTGAACTGGAAAATCTTAGAATTTTAAAGAAAAGTTCCTAAAACTTAAAACCAGTGTTCATTTTTTCTAAAAAAGCACTATAAACCTGCCCTTTTTGCATTGTAATTTTGACCACTTTTAAGCAAGAAACCCTTTCTTCTAGAAAATTAGACATTTCTGTACTTTCAAATTTCAAAGAAAATCAGACATCAGATAATTACTTTTCAAATTAATCTTAAGATACTACGAGTAAGGATCAAAATGTCAAGCATTTTAAGAATTTCAACACTTCTTCAAACTCTTCAGACAGAAATATTAGGTAAAATTCTCCATTGGAAAGAACTTCAGCTTTTTGGTTATTATATGGATAGCCCAGACTTTCCACCATAATGCATTTCACCAAGTCATGTTAAACAAACAGATTATAAAAACAGCTTTCCCCAGATGAGGCTAAAATTGGGAACAGTTTTCTTCACTATATATTTTTTTAATAAAAACCAAATATGCAGATTGTAAAAATCCATTCAGAAGATTTTTTTATTATTATTATTAAATACACTGTTTGGATAGTCCAGGCTTAATACTTTATGGCAAGAAGCCCACAAAAACCACTATATTGATTCTAGCATTAACTCAAAATGCTCAATAAATGTTTTTAAATGTTCTACTCACTGAAAACCTATGAACTAGAAACACCTAAAAAACAAACTTCACCTGGCAAACCAACATTTGTAGCTTTTCTTTTCCCCCTTTTTAAGTAAATACCGAAACTATAAGGACAAATGTTCAAGAGGGGACTAAATAAATGCCAAAACAAACTGCAAACCATTGTGATACTTGTTCAGAGCTATCAGAAGTGATATAAGAAAACTTTGTCATTCTCAAATATGGTGTCAAATTCCTCAACCCAAAGGTCAGAACTTTTGGTAAGAAAATGGATTTACCTGTCCTCGGTGATGATAAACATCTGCATTCTGAGGATCGATGTCAGCAGCCATGTTGAAATCCTGAGTAGAGAGCAAAGGCTGCTGCTGCTGCATGTACATGCTGCCCCTTTTGATGAGTGCATTTGCTCGAAGCTACATGCCCCAAATGAGAAAAGGTTCATCACTACTACTTTTAATTCCAATTTATTTTATTTTATTTATCCTCACCCGAGGACATTTTTCGATATTTTGTTCAGATAGAGTGGGAGGGAGGGGGAGAGAGAGAGAGAAACATCAACGTTAAAGGGATACATTGAGTGGCCACCACCCACACGACCCAACCAGGGCCGGGGACAAACCATGACCGAGGAACGCGCCCTTAGCGGGAACCGAACCCGGGTCTTTCCAGACCGCAGGCCGAAGCTCTAACCACTGAGAAAACCGGCCAGGGCTAGTTTATTTTTTTAAATAACAGCTATATTGAGATTTAATTCACATACCATAAAGCTCACCCATTTAAAGTCAGTTGTTTTAGTATATTCAGTTTTGTGCAACCATCACCATTATCTAACTCCAGAACCTCTTTGTCATCCTCAGAAGAAATCATGCACATATTAGTAGTCACTCATTTTCCCCTTTAATCCATCAACCTACTTTCTACTTCTATGAATTTGTATATTCTGGACATTTTATAAAAATGGAATAGTCTTTTATGTCTGGCTTCTTTCATTTAGTATGTTTTTAAGGTTCATCTGTGTTGTAGCATGTATCAGTACTTCATTATTTTGTAATGGTGGAATATTATTCTATTATATACCACTTTTCTTTATCCATTCATCAGCTGATGGACCTTTGAGCTGTTTCCACTTTTTGGTTATTATGAATAATTTTGCTATGAACATTCGTGTACAAGTTTTTGTGTTCACTTATATATTCATTTCTCTTGGGTATATGTCTAGGAAAGGAACTGCTGGGTCATATGGCAACTATTCAACTTTTCGATGAACTACCAAACTAATTTCCAAAAGGATCTTTACCATTTTACATTCCTGCCAACAATGCATACAGTTCCAATTTCTCTACACTCTCACCAATGCTTTCAATTGTCCACCTTTCTGACAACAGCCATCCTAGTGGGTGTAAAGTGATATCTCATTGTTATTTAAAAAAATGTTTTCCCTTTATTGCTTTTAGAGAAAGAGGAAGTGAGCAGGAGAGAGAGAAACATCGATGAGAGAGAACACTGACTGGCTGCCTCCTGCATGTTACCTGCACTGGGGATCTGGCCCACAACCCAGGCATGTGTCCTGACCGGCAATCGAACCAGTGACCTCTTAGTGCATGGGTCGATGCTCAACCACTGAGCCACACCAGTCGGACTCTCATTGTGATTTTGATTTGAATTTCCCTAATAGAGTTAATGATGTTGAGAATCTTTTCATGTGCTTATTGGCCATTTTTATATATTCTTGAGAAAATGTCTATTCAGATCCTTCACCTGTTTTTAAACTGAGTTGTTTTGTAAGAAGAGTTCTTTACATATTCTGGATATAAGCCCCTTATCAGATCTATGATTTGTATTTTCTCCCATCCTGTGCAATATGTTTTCTCTTTCTCGATGGCATCCTTTCAATCAAAAAAGTATTAAATTTTGATGAAGTCTTTTCTTTGTTGTTGCATGTGCTTTTAGTATCATATCTAAGGACACTACTAATCCAAAGTAATGAAGATTTCTTCCTGGGTTTTTTTTCTTAGAGTTTTATAGTGCTCTTATGTTTAGGTCTTTGATCCATCTGAGTTCATTTCTGTACACAGTCTGATAGACATTACTACTTGCCCTTAGAACAAAAGTCATGATCATAAAGCAAGACACACACTTCTTCTCCAAAACCCCTTTTCAAGACAAAACTACATATAAATGTTTTCCTGAATGAAACAAACAAGAATGCCCCATAATTATAACAAAAAACATATAATAGAACATATTTGTAATCAGCAAGACATAAAATTAAAGATAATATTACTAGGGTATTTTCAATTTTATAATCTCTTTTTAAAAGGAACTTTTAACAAATACTTAGGCTTTGACAACAACTTTTATACATGAATGACTCATTTGGAGGTAGAGAAAGCCAGAGTTTACTTAATTCCACGAGGAAGCAGGCCACAGTGAAGAAACCGGCAAGAAATAGTTAACTGGTGGCTACATTCCGTCATGTTACACTGAGTAGAGAACTCAACAGACACTCCAATCTTAACTATGAAAATAACTACATACACTTAAGAACACTTGGAAAATAAAAAGCTGTCCAATGGCACAACTGCGAAAACTTTTGGTGTATTTCAGTATCTATATCATATTTTTAGAAACCTGTATTTTTCTTCATGTTAAAAATAAAATATTACTGGCATCATCATAAAATCTTTCAGATGATTAAATGTGCTTATTTTTATTAAATGCATTTTATAACCTTGTACTACATACTGTGTGTTACTTACAGCATTACCTATACCATTATTCCTACCCAAATATAGCCCACTACTATAGGCACTGCTGTGAAACTAAAGCTACTGGATAATATAGAAAAAATGTTTTTCCTTTCCTAACCAAAAATAAACATCACTGATATTTATATTGCAGTTTCACTACACCAACTCAATCATCATTTGGTGTAATTCCTTCCAAAACAAAAGTAGCCTTTTGGAGAACAGCAACTGAAATGCAAAATTTTAGCAAAACATCTAAAAGCCTCATTTCTATTTACTAATTTTTTCACATGCACAAAAACATTTTTAAAACATACCTTCACATTAGCTTCTTTCAAACTGATGACCTTGTCTAAATCTGGTTTAGCTGCATTGGCATTGCCAATAAGCAGGTAGAAGGTAGCTCGTAGTAATAATGCTTCTGCCATGTATTTGCCTTGAGCATCTATTTCTTTTGAGCATTCACTTATGATTTTATCATAGTTTTCTTCTTCCATGTACTGTTTGGCCTTTAAATATCCAGAACTGAAAATAAAAACGAACATAGAAAATTATTCACCAAAAGAGGATGAAATGCTACAACATGCCACATTTAGTATACACGAGTTAAGCAAATGTCTATTTCCCCTTAACAAGTTAGTCAGGAATGAAGCAGGGCAGGAGGGTAACAGAAGTTTTGATGCAGACTAGGACTGTCTTCATGACTTGGAGAGCTTTTAAAAAGGAAACAGCAGTCAGTGGCAGAAAGCTAGGGTTACTGCCCAGGGTTCGACATTTAAATATGTGAAAAGACAAGGGAAAGTCTAATTCACCTTCATATCTGTGGCATGTTGATGGCACTCAACAGTTATTTTGTGACTAACAGAAAGGATAGAGAAATAGGAAATAAGTCAACTCAGGAACACAGAAGCCAAGGGAAGAAGAGGTGTGACCTAAGCAGTGCTTTGTAAAGATCAGCAAGGGAGCAAGACTGGAAGCAGAGAAATATCTGAAAGGCTCTCGTCCAGAAGTTGTGTTGTTTTATCTGTGAGAACAGACCAGAAGGAATAGGTGGGAATATCAAAGCAGCAAATTTAAAGGTAGATTCTTCCATAAAAAAGGACTTTAAAAAAACATCCTTTGGCCCTGGCCAGTTTGGCTCAGTGGTTAGAGCGTCGGCCTGCGGTCCGGAGAGACCCGGGTTCGGTTCCCGCTAAGGGCACGTACTTCGGTTGCAGTTTGTCCCCGGCCCTGGTTGGTCGTGCGGGTGGCAGCCACTCGATGTGTCCCTTCACGTTGATGTTTCTCTCTCTCTCTCCCTTCCTCTCTCTCCCTCCCACTCTATCTGTACAAAAAAATGGAAAAATATCCTCGGGTGAGGATAAAAACAAACAAACAAACAAACAAACAAAAAACAGCAACATCCTTTGCCCGGCCAGTGTGGCTCAGTGGTTGAGCGTCGACCCAGGCACCAAGAGGTCGCTGGTTCGATTCCTGGTCAGGGCACATGCCCAAGTTTCAGGACACATACCCAAGTAGTGGGCCAAATCCCCAGTGGAGGGCAGGCTGGAGGCGGCCAATCAGTGTCCTCTCTCATCCATGTTTCTATCTCCCTCCCTTTCCCTTCCTATCTAAAAAAAAAAAAAAAATCCTTCCCTACTTCTTAAAATGTAGTGACCACAATTTCATTATTCTTCTAAGATGACTACTATCGGGACCCTTGCCAAAAGGATTTCTTTGAACTAAAAAGGAATGTATAGGAAATGAGCTTTAAGGTGTCTTACAAATATAAGCTACTGTAAATTAAAGAACAGTTTCTCATTTCATTTTTTATATATTCTGAACACAGAAAACTGGCAAATGTCTTAAAAGTTGGTCAAAATCTTACAAATTCTGTGTTAATATTTCCTACAATTACATTCTAATACTCCCTATACTCTAGTTTTGTTACTCAGGTCACCAGGCTAAGAAAATATAATTATTAAATCAGAATGGAATAATGGTTCATACTTATTGAGAATATAAGTGTTAGATGCTTACAAAAATAACCTTTAAACCTCAGAATAATCTTCAAAGGTATTATCAGCCCCAGTTTAAAATGATGAAGCTAAGACTCAGAGTAAAGTGGAATTTAAAAACTAAGGTCCAATTCCAGCAATATTCTGGTGAGAAGTAGCTATGTCCTACCACCTCCCAATATAGCTTTGAGAATAATGTATTAATTTCACTGTTGTTTTTCTGGGACTAGGACTTTTTTCCTTAACCAGAAGGGGAAATTATTGGCATTATCTTAAACATTTACGTCCCAACTAGTTTTCTGAAAAGACTGAGTATCAACTAACTAAAATTTGAACATTTGGTACGATTATGCATAGTATCCTCCCCCTTAAAAGGTGGCCAACAATGTTGGAAAAATTTGGAGACACAAATTAAAAGCAATTTGTTTCCTGGACCTGGAGAGTATTATGCTAAGTAAAATAAGCCAATCAGAGAAAGACAAGTACCATATGATCTCACTTATATGTGGAATCTAATGAACTAAGGAAACTAACAAACAAAAATAGGCTCATACAGAACAGACTGACAGCTGTTAGAAGGAAAGAGGGCTGGAGGGCTGGGTGAAAAAGGTAAAGGGATTAAGAAAAAATAAATAAAAACTCAGACACAGACAACAGTATGGTGATTACCAGAGGGAAAGGGGGGTGGGGAGAGGTAGAGGAGGGTAAAGAGGGAATAAATGGTGATGGAAGGAGACTTGACTTGGGGTGGTGAATACAATACAATATACAGATAATGTATTATAGACTTATACCCCTGAAACCTATATAATTTTATTAACCAATGTCAACCCAATAAATTCAATAAAAAAGAAAAGGAAAAGCTGGTTAAGAGATACTAATAAAAATACATTAAAAAAAGGTAAAAGAAGCAATCTGTTTCCTTAAACCTTCCAGTGTTATAGGTGTAAAGCTATGCTTTGCAATGGAAATAACATTCTCTTTTCTTCCAAATTCATTTTAAAATGGCATGTTGGTAATAATATTGTACCTTTTCTTAGAGGACAGCTAGCCCTAACAGCAAAACACAAGTACTGATAAATATAAGTGGATACGCAGGCTAGGTGGCTTTATAACTGATCTCCTATTGTAAACATAGCATCCTATACTGCTTTCTACAAGAGCAAACACAAGGTAAGCCCAAACAATGGCATTTTCCTAGGCAAGCAGGAAAAAAAACCTTGAAAAAGTCACTTTTGGGTACCCCTAAGCATCTTAGTTTATAAATCATAAACATCCCTACACTAAAACATTTGGATATTCAACTACATAATAATTTTCAAATCAGTGCCCCTATTTGAATAAAGCTAATCACTTGACTCACTGGGAATACTCTTGAGAATATCACCAGGATCCTAAAGGCAGGGCAAACTCCTGGCAGCAAAGCCTCAAGTCACCAAAGAAGTAACTCTCAGGGTGTAATAGACACACGTGAAAAATATTTTTATTATAATAATGCTATCATGATATATAATTTTTATTGTATTTATATCTATATAGAAAGAGTTTTCCTGAGATGATTCAGAGCCCCATTAAGGCACTATGGCAGCAAGAAACCAAAACCAAAACCAAATATCCCCTGCAAAACAACAGCAGATCCTATACTTGACACACTTACTTTTCTTTCACTTCTAAAGCCTCTCCTTCCTTGTCTTTATCTTCATCAGACTTCTCTCCTTTAAGCATGGGTTGAGAAATTATATCATCCGTGAAAGAACTGAAGTAAGATTTGATAAACTGTGGAGATGGCATCAGAGGTTCACGATTCTGAAATTTAATATTCAAATACATCAAAATGAGAAAACACACCAAAAAAGCAGATACATTTATAGAACACTGAGAATGACTTATAAAAATTGGTATCTCTCTCTCTTTTTTTATCCTCACCCAAGGACATTTTTTGCATTTATCTTCAGATACAGTGGGAGGGAGAGAGGAAGAGAGAGAGAAACATCGATGTGAAAGACACACATCGACTGGTTGCCACCCGCACAACCCCAACTGGGCCCAGGGACAAACTGCAACTGAGGCACGTGCCCTTAGCAGGAACCGAACCTGGGACTCTCTGGTCTGCGGGCCGATGCTCTAAACCCTGAGCAAAACTGGCCAGGGCAAAATTGGAATCTCTTTTAAATAACAGAAATATTAGGCTGCATATCACAGGACAGCAGCAATGGTAAAACTGTCAGTCCCAGCTGCTCGAAGCAGTTTTTAAGAAAGAGGCTTTCCCCTCTCCAAAGATGTAAAATACCAAGAACTCTTAGAACCACTCACTAAAAGAAAAGAAGGTAAAATCTGGAACTCGAGAGGCAAATAACTGCTGAGTTAAAATTACCTCCTTCTCCTAGGTCTCTGTCCTAGAAGACGAGCATCCCAATTTACCACTCAAGACCATGTCTTACCCAGGTGCTGAAATGTTAAGTCCATATCCCACACACCTTCATCTGTCCTACAGTTGTCCTGTATCTGAAGATCTTCATTATAGTAAGCACCATTGAAAGCCAGAATGGAATCACATTTCCTCTTTGAATTAATACTTTTTGGAGTGGCAACCTTACTCATAATTGTATGAATATTTTGTTTCTCCTTACAGTACAATTAAGACTAGGAAGAGAGAAGAGGAAATAATAGCCAAAGGGCTCCCAAAATATATACTGGACCCTTTAGATACAAAATTCAACCAAACATTTTTTAAATGGAAATGAAGTGTTTTCAAATGTATATCAAATATCATTTCTGTTATTTCGATAGATTTAATGTCTGTATGTGAAGAAAGAAAAAAAGGGAATCTGTCTATATAGGTAAATGATCTAATCTAGGATAGATGAGATTGGGAAAGAAAACTGAACTGGAAAACCCATACCTTTATGCTCTCTCTGGGCAGAGATTCAGTATGGTTTAATTTAGGATTATAAAAATAAATATTTTAAGTCAAATGTTGACCCATCAAGTGGACAAATATGCCTAACTTCAGTATTTCGCTGAAGATTTCGAGTAGGAATATACAGTGGTAATCATTTACCACTTAAATGGAAAACTTAAACAGAAGTTTAAATAGCGCCTACTGGTAGCTGAATAATGTCTTTTAGTTTTTTCTATTTCAGCTTACAAATGAAGCTATCACCACCTCCCTGCCTCCTCCAGTTACAAATTTAAAATGAGAACAATGTTACAATTAGGTATCAAAGGAACAAGATATAAATTCTAGCTTTGCCAATTATTAGCAATGTGACCTTGCACATGTCATTTTCAGTTTTCTCATCTCTAGAATGGCAATAAAAACACTTGCCTTATTTATCTTACAAGGTTGTTTTAAAAATCAAAACAGTAATATGAAAAGTATTCTGTGACTTACAATGTGGCATACAGATTAGAAAATTCATGTGGAAAATGATTTGGAACCTATGTAAATATAGCTTAACTGTATTTTCTTACCATCTGCAATTCAACCAGTACAATTCCTCAACAATAACATTATACAAGTAAACACAAGGAAACTAGGTTCCTTCAAGATTCAGTTTGTGAGACTCTAAGAAGGTATTTTACAAAGTATTTTGAGGAACACCAGTTCTATGAAATGCTCAAGGAGAAAAAAAGATCCTTAGTTTAGAGACTGAGAACCACTACAGCTATATTCCTTTTAGAGATTCATAACACACCCTAGCACATGAAGGTCCTGCCATGAAGAAACCTGTTTTAACTGTTTATCTCAGCTATAAAAATGTTAAGTTAAAAATACAAACAGCTTGCTAAAATTAATTTAAAAGAAAAGCAAGTTATTATTAAAAAAAAAATAACAAATGCTAAATTACTGAAATTTAGCAGAAAATCTCTGGTGACATTCAGTGATGATTGTGGTACTCCCACGGCACTCTACTCGTATCTTCCTGTGACACTTCACCATATTACGTCTTTTATACTTATGGTCTCCCTCACTAAACTGTAATTCTATAAGGGCAAGGACCGAGTCTTAGTACCCAACCTTTTAAAATGCACAGCATGAGCCCTGGCTGGTTTGGCTCAGCAGTTAGTGCATCAGCCCTCAGACCAGAGACACCTGGGTTCGGTTCCCGCTAAGGCCTTGTACCTCAGTTGCAGTTTGTCCCCAGCCCCGGTTGGGGTTGTGTGGGTGGCAACCAGTCGATGTATCTCTCTCACATCAATGTTTCTCTCTCTCTCTTCCTTCCTGTCTCCCTCCTAGCTCTATCTGAAGATAAATGCAAAAAAAATGTCCTTGGGTGAGGATGAAAAAATAAATAAATTAAAAATAAAATAAAATGTACACCATGGAACTTTGTTCAGTAAATGTTTCTTGAATTAAACCATCTGTTACTGACTGCTTAAAACTAACACCCACTTATTTATGCAGTACAACTTTAAAAACTTTAATGATATAGAATAGGAATTGGCAAAGTTTTTTCTGTAAAAGGCCAGAGAGTAAATATTTAGCAAATATTTGTGACAGCCTCTGTCACAACCACTTGACTCTGCTGTTGTAGCTAAAAAGCAACCAAAACTAATGTGTGAGCAGCTGAGTTCTAATAAAACATTATTTATAAAAACAAATGACAGCCCAGCTGGTGCTGCTCAGTGGCTGAGCATCGACCTATGCACCAAGAGGTTGCCGGTTCGATTCCCGGTCAGGGCACATGCCCAGGTTGTGGGCCAAATCCCCAGTGGGGAGCATGCAGGAGGCAGCCAATCGATGTTCTCTCTCATCGATGTTTCTATCTCTCCCTACCTCTCCCTTTCTCTCTCTCTAAAATCAATGAAGAGAAAAAAAAAATAGCCCTGGCCAGTGTGGTTCAGTGGTTAAAGTGTCATCCCTGGGACCAAGGGTTCTTGGGTTTGATTCCAGGTCAAGGGCACATACCTGGGTTGCAGGTTCAATCCCTAGCCCTGGTCAGGGGGCGTGTGGGAGGAAACCAATCGATGCATCTCTCTCATATCAATGTTTCCCTCTCTCTCTCTCTCCCTCTCTCCCTCTCTCCCTCTCTCTCATACCTCTCCCTCCTTTCCACTCTCTCTAAATGAAAAAAAAAAAAAATCCTCAGGTGAGGATTAAAATAAAACAACAAAACCAAACCAAAAAACTGCAAACTAGCTTTGGCCTATAGGCCATTGATTGGCAACTCCCAATATAGACGAATTCTTTCAATATTAGTGAAGTAAAATACGGAACCCAGCTCACATTATTATTATTTTTAAAGGTAAGTCATAAAAGCCCAAGTTTAAAGGAAAAATAAATATAATCCAGATCTAATTGCAGTTGTTATCATTACCATCATGTCCAAGTTTAAGCAATATAAATTAGAAATGACCACTCACAGTGTATCCTCCCCCTCTATTAACCAACTCGGTTTCATTTACCTTGTATTTTTCTTTGGCTTTCTCTTTTCCAAGAAGTTTAAGAACTTTATCAGCTAAAAGCATGCTTTGTTGATTTTGGAATCCTTCTAATATACATACAGCAGTGACATCTAGAAATGGTGGGAAAGCAAGATAATTAAATTATTACAAAGATGATTAGCAGCATCAAATGGGCACAGTGTTAACACAGAAAGCCAAACTAAATTGATATCTTTATGTGACTATGAATCTCATTTTCAATAAACTGATTCTTAAACTTTAGTTTTATATACTCTATGACCAAACTCAAAGCTCAGAAAGTCACTCCACTTCTATGGGATTCACTTTCCTCATCTGTGAAGTGAAAGAGACCACAGTACATGATCTGTGATGGCTCTCACTCACATCTCATCTTTTTTATAGGCCTCAGTTATTCTGTGTTTCTAGAGCCATCTTCCCAGTGCCCTCAATTAAATCTACTTCAAAATACCATTTTCATCTGATTATACCACAGTTCAAGATATATTGGTTTGAAATTTAAAAGATCAGTGGTTCCTTAATCTCTCCACCTTTCATTCAAAGTACTAAAGCAATGGCTGGTCCCTTTTTCTGAACCCTATTTCTTACAATTCCAAATCCTTCCTCCTCCAAACAAGTCTTTCTGCTGTTATCTTTCCTGATAGTCTAGCTGGTGGCAGTATCAATGTCTTTTTCCCATTCCATTTCTATTAAAATCCATTTAACCTCCACTCTATAAATGATCTGTTAATAACTTAAAGATTTCACTCAAAACTCAGAATTCCCTTTTCCAAAGCAACACTCCTTCCTCCCATCACCAAAGTTCATGACACCGAAAAACCTCAAATTTTTCTAAAATGTTCTCTAAATCACTCTTACTGGTAATACAGATTTTAAAAATAAAACAGCATATTTACTTTAAATAATAATGTTATTAAAAATAATTATGGCTAAATCTTCTGAGTATTTATGGTTTTAATGATTAAGATTTAAATGTGCAGTGGAAAGCACTTTTAGACTGTAAAACTTATACTCTGGTTTAGCGCCATGTCACCCAGAAAAATGTACTTCAAAAACCCAGTGGTCTATGCCCTGGCCGGTTTGGCTCAGCAGTTAGAGCATCAGCCTTCGGTCTGGAGAGACCCGGGTTCAGTTCCCACTAAGGGCATTGTACCTCGGTTGCAGTTTGTCCCCGGCCCTGGTAGGGTCGTGTGGGTGGCAGCCACTCGATGTGTCCCTTTCACGTTGATGTTTCTCTCTCTCCCCCCCTCCCACTCTATCTGAACAACATATCAAAAAGTTTCCTCGGGTGAGGATAAAAAAAAAACAACAAAAAAACCCAGTGGCCTATACTCAAATTGAAGTTTCGATAGCAGACTATTTACAGTAAATACTAAAATTGGCAAATGCTTTGTACCAATTACCTAATTTTTAATTGAGTATAAAATAATGCTTGAAAAAATACCAAGGACAGACAAGAAACCAAATGTTTTCTTTAATGATACATCTCATAATTATTTCATATTTATACAGAATATTAACTGAAAATATGTAGGATCTTAGAAAAACTATCACTTACTAAAACCTCTTTTCTGATTTCTTTTTAACAGAATTACACTGATGATCATTAGTTGTCAAGTTTAAAATGTACGGTGTATAAACTCCAAATCTTAATACCTATTTTAATTTCATAACTGGGAACAGAGACAACAATACTCAAATATCAGCAATCTTAATTTAAACCAGAAAACAAAGTCTCAATTGGGGAAGGGTTGAACTTTTAAATAAAATTGATTTCTCTACTCACAGGCAGAATTTCATATAAATTTACCAATGACTTTATGCTGTTAATAATTTTCATATGGAAACACAAAAATATCCTCACCTTCTAAACATTCCTTCTTATTGTCTAGCTTCTCGTGGGCTTTTGCACGTCTAAAGAGGGCTTTCACATATTTGGGATTAAGTTCAACAGCTTTTGTACAATCTTGTGCCACCTCTTTCCATTTTTGCTGCAATTGAAAATATTTTTAAAAAGTCACACTAAAGGAAGCACTAAAATCAGTTTTCCAAACTTAAAAGGCTGAGTGTAAGAGTCCCACAATAGGGAAAAAAAAAAAATATATATATATATATATATGTATATGTATATGTATATGTATAAAAAACCTGATTTTTAAAAATACTAGGCAAAGGACATGCTTAGGCCATCTTTCTACCACCAAATCTACAAACCTACCTTCATCTATGTGCTCATATCTCCTTCCTTCCTGTTAGAACTGAGGAAGTGCCCCTCTTCATCACCTATGAACCTGCACTCTCTTCAGTTCAGGGACTTCACTGTTAGCCATTCTACCTCTCCTTCAATCTGCTTCTCTACTGAAATATTCCCATAAGCATAAAAACACTTGCACTAGTGTTTCCCATCTTTTAAAAACCATCCATTGATTGCATAAATCTCTAGCTTTTACCCCTTTCCTCAGCTTCTCTTTACTAACAAACCTCTATCTGATTTCATCTACCTCACTGGCTACTCCTTCACAATTTCCTTCACTGAATTCTCCCTCTACCTGACCTCTATATGCCAGAGTCCTCAAGGCCTCCCCTCTCTCCCTAGGTGATCACATCTAGTGTCCTGGCATTATATAACATCTAAAATAAGACGATTCTCATATGAATTGCTTTAGCCCAAACCACTCTCCTAAAATAGAGACATTTCTCAAGTCAACTATCTAATTAATTGTCTCATTCCTTCCTCAACCCACTATTATTCAAATCCCTGCTTCTCTTCATCCTTCACATCCAATGTTGTTGGTTTTCAGCTTTCCTTCATGTCTCACTGAGGCAACTACAACATCCTTAGTCTTCCTGCCTCCATTCTTGCCTCCTTCCAATATAGTCTTGACAGAAAAACAAAAGCAGTAGGTGATGTTCCTGCCCCTACATATTTCCCATTACACTCAGAATCAAATCCAAACTCTTCACCACTGCAAGGTTTTGCTTGATCTGACCTCTGCTATTTCTCCCAATTTCATTTCTTTATACTTCAGGATCCTTTATACTTCATTAATCACACCAAACTCTTTCCTGACTCAAAGCAATTACACATACCGTTGTATGCACCAACCCCACTTCTAATCATTCCTCTATTACAGAATCATGTGTCTTTCAAAACATTTATCAAAATGTCATTTAGTAGTTCATTGTTTAGCTATCCTCAAGTTCTATGCATAATTGTTTGCTTTTATAGACCCAACTCCTACCCTAATAACCTTCCATATGTGACACAGTCAGTAAAATTTAGTTGAACAAATAAATGCAGAGAATACAAATGCCCAATAAACATAGAAAGGGATGGTCAACTTCAGCAACATCTCAAAAATTGCAAATTAAAATAGTGAGACAATATTTTTCTTTTATCAGAGTGGCAAATATTAAGATTGATAATCACAGTCAGCAAGAATATTGGAGATTAACCATGCTCATCGCTTATATGTTATTGTTGAAAATAGGTATTGATGCTATCTTTTTATATTTCAATTTCTAAAAATTTTATCCTCCCAAAGTATGCAAAAAAAATAGTTACAAAAATATCTACTGCAATACTGAATATAATAGGGACAAGAAGAAGCAATCCAAATGTTCAACAATAGGGAGGTTTTCCATTATACAACCATATAAGAGCTACTACATATAGTCTTAAAAAAAAAAGGAAACAGCCCTGACCACTTTGGCTCAGCGGTTAGAGTGTTGGCCCGTGGAACAGAGAGTCCCAGGTTCGGTTCCCACTAAGGGCACATACCTCAGTTGCAGTTTGTCGTGCAAGTGGCAACCAGTTGATGTCTCTCTCTCACATCAATGTTTCTCTCTCTCTTCCTCCCTCTCTCCCTCCTGCTCTGTCTGAAGATAAATACAAAAATGTCCTCAGGTGAGGATAAAACAAAAAGAATGAAACAGATTTATGTGTGCTATGAAAAGCCGTACAAAGTATAGTGGCAACTGAAAAAATATGTTGCAAATAATGTGTGCAACAGAAACTCATCTTTGGTCTTTCCCCCCGCTATTTAAAAACTTTTAATTTATTGACTGGTTTCAGAGGAGGCGGGAAGAGAAAGAGAAACATCAATTTGTTGTTCCACTTATTTATGCATTCATTGGCTGTCTCTTGTATGTGCCCTAACTAGGGATCAAACCTACAACCTTGGCCTATTGAGACAATACTCTAACCAACTGAGCTACCTGGCCAGGGCCTTTATCCCCCTACTTTTGCTACTACTACATATATTGAGACAAAGAGTTTAAGAAATAGCCTTAAACTGTTGAGGAGAATAGGGTCACCAGAAACTTTAGCTTTCTGTATTATCTAATTTTATAAAATCTGATATATATAACTTTGGATTACATTTGTAACGAGCAAAACTAAAATTTGTTCTTAAGTTATGTAATTAAAAGATATGAAAACAAAACAAAAATCCTGTAATTTCAAGACAACTTCAAAAAAGTTATTAGACTTGAATGGCATTATCTGAAACATCATGCAAATAAAGAGATACAAAAAGAAGACAAAACAACCTCAGATACCTACCAACTGTTCAAAGGCGGCAGCTCTGTTTTGATAAAATGTGGAAAGGTCAACATTCTTCTCTGTAGGGCACAAACTGATAGCCTCCGTATAGCACTGAATAGCTTGTTCATATTTCCCTGCTTTAAAATACTTGTTGCCTTTGTTCTTGGCTGCTTGGGCTCTATCAAGAGAGTTCTGAAATGAGAGGAAACAATGATTAAATACTTAACAGTCAGGAATAGATTCAGATCAGTGATTAAATGATAAACTAAAAGAAGAAAAATGGGAGGGTAGAATGGCTCTTTAAAATGCAAGTCACTTTATATAAATATCTTCAGGGGATAGTCGTAGTAATGAGACTGCTAAATCAAAAGGTTTATATATTTTTATTCCCAAAAAAAGGCTGTAGTGATTTAATGTACCACTTTCCTGCCGGCAACTGATGTGATCACTATCTTTTATTTTTCCAGTATAATGAGTATAAAACTGGTTCTTAATCAGGGGTTATTTTACCTTCTAGAGCACTTCTGACAATGTCTGAAGACATTCTGACTACACAACTGAGGGCAGGGTGAGCTACTGGTACCTAGTGGACAGATATCCTAGGGATGCTTCTAACATTCTACAATGCACAGGGCTGTCCCCCACAACAAAGAATTGTCACATTCAACATGTCAATAATGCCCTGGCCGGTTTGGCTCAGCTGTTAGAGCGTGGGCCCGCAGAACAATGAGTCTCGGGTTCGATTCCAGTCAAGGGCATGTACCTCAGTTGCAATTCATCTTCAGCCCTGGTTGCGGGAAGCAGCCACTAGATGTGCTCCTTTCATGTCAATGCCCACCCCCCCCATCTGAACAAAAAAAATGGAGAAATGTCCTCGGGTGAGGATAAAAATAAATAAAATAAAAAATAACAAAACAAAATGTCAATAGTACCAAGTTTGAAAAATTTGGGTGTAAACTAATATTACAATATTTTCTTAATTTTAATTTTCCTCATTATTAATGAACTTGAAATTTTTCATGTTTATTGGCCATTTAGCTTTCTTATTCTGAAAACCATTTATTCATGCATGCAACTGCTATTTTTCTATTAGACTGTTAACAGGACAGACACCAGAAACACTGTCGTTTTCATTACAATTATCCCAAATCTACTGTTTGCTCATCAATACATTTTTTAGATCCTTTATCTCAGGGTCTGATTCCTGGAAAACCCAACTTACAATAAGAAAGCGTTAGTAGTTAATAGCCATTGAGGACAGTTATAAACATGTCAATCAACATATCTTTGTAGACAGATCTAGTTGTCCAGGGTGTGGCTACTGGGTCCAAGAGCTTTGTGTCATGTCTCTACCCAAATCTCTGTTTGTCAACACCATCCAAGTTTAACAAATATGTGACTATGAAAGAATCCATGTATCTCCAACAGGTAAGCACTTACAAACCAAAAGCAGAAGTGGCTACTCCCTCAAACAACTTACAGGGGCTTTGAAAGCTAAATTGCTTAGGGACCAGGGCATCTCGGTCACAAAAAGATAACAACCCTTTTTTCTATCTGTTCTTTTCTCCCTTACTGTTGCTTCATTTTTCTTTGCAGCTGTTTGTGCCATTTACTTTTTGTTTACAGCTATTTTTTTAAAGTGTAGTGTGCAAAGAAGAATTTAAAGAAAACTAACCTCAGAATATTAAAATTTTTTTTTCTTTAGTGAGTTTAGAAAGAAAGGAAGGGAGAGGGAGAGATAGAAACATCAATGAGAGAACATTGACAGGCTGCCTCCTGCATGCCCCTCACTGTAGATTTGGCCCACAACCTGGGCATGTGCCCTGACCGGGAATCAAACCAGTGACCTCTTGGTGCATGGGGCAATGCTCAACCAATGAGCTACACCAGCCAGGCAGATCGGAATATTAAAAAGCTAGCTTAAACCAGTGTCAGCAAGGGACATGCATATTTTATTTATTTATTTTTTAAATATATTTTTATTGACTTTTTTTGTTTTAGAGAGAAAGGAAGGGAGAGAGAAAGAAACATCAATGTGAGAGAGATACATCGATCAGCTGCTTCCTGCATGCCCCATACTGGGGATCAAGCCCACAACCTGGGCATGCGCCCTGACCAGGAATCGAACCGGCAACTCTCAGTACATGTGATGATGCTCAATCCACTGAGCCACAATGGCCAGACAAGACACGCATATTTTAAAAGTAGGATGTTGGCCCTGGCTAGGTTTGCTCAGTGGTTAGAGCATAGGCCCGAGGACCAATGAGTCGCGGGTTCAATTCTAGTCAAGGGAATGTACCTTGGTTGCAATTCATCCCTGGCCCTGGTCAGGGTCATGTGGGAGGCGGCCACTCGATGTTTCTCTTTGTCTCTTTGTCTCTATCTCTCTTCCTCTCCCTCCCTCCCACTCTATCTGAACAAAAAATGAAAAAATGTCCTCAGGTGAGGATAAAAAATAAAATAATAAAATAAAATAAAACTAGGATGCTGGAGGATGTAAGAAACCAAATAAAACACAAATTAATAGATAAATATAAAATCTTCCATTTGTCAATACATTTAATCATCTTCCATAAACGTTGACAGTAAAATCCTTGGCACAAAACATCTATAATAGAAGACAACTAGGAATCCCTTAGGTAACTATGGACTCGGGGGAAAGGAACTATTAAGGTGATTGCTAAAAAACAGCATTTGAAACAACCTCAACATTCCTTCCAGTCCACTGGAAGGAATGGGGTGGGGCTGTGTCAGCCAGGAGTGAGGATCCCCTATGTCCAGAGATAAATGACAAGCATACCTTGCTTTTCTTCCATGAGACCACAGTGTCAGGAATTGATAACATAAAGGAAAATTAACAGCATAAAAGAGAGGTACCAAACTCAAAGAGAAAGCCAGTATTTATGAAAGAATAAACCAAGCAAACAGAAAATTTAACATCAGAAGAATATAAGGCTGTTAGTCATTTTTAAAAAAGACTGCTTTTATTTTTATTTATTTTTAATCCTTACCCGAGTATATTTTTCTATTTATCTGCAGATAGAGTGCGAGGGAGATAAAGGGAGAAAGGGAGAGAGAGAGAGAAACATCGACATGAGAGGAACATACTGACTGCTTGCCTCCCGTACGACTCTGACCAGGGCTAGGGAGGAACTGCAACTGAGGCACGTGCCCTTGGCTGGAATCGAACCCGTGACTCATTGGTACATAGGCCGACGCTCTACCACTGAGCCAAACTGGCCAGGGCAAAATAGGGCTGGTTTGAAAGAGCACCAATTAGACATCTTGAAAATTAAAAAAGATTGCCCTGGCCGGTTTGGCTCAGCAGTTAGAGTGTCGGCCCACAAACCAATGAGTCGTGGGTTCAATTCTGGTCAAGGGCACATACCTTGGTTGCGATTCGTCCCTGGCCCTGGTTGGGGTCGTGTAGGAGGCAACCACTCATATGTTTCTCTCTCTCTCCCCCTCCCCACCTCCCACTCTAGCTGAACAAAAATGGGGGGGAAAAAAGGTCCTCAGGTGAGGATAAAAGAAAAAAAGATTACAATTAATCCAATAGATGGATTGTATATTAGAACAGTCGTAACTAAGGAGCCAAGAAAGTCTGCCAGAATGCAATAAAAAAAAAAAGAGGACAGATAGAGGAGTGAGAAGTTTGGAGGAAAAGTTAAATGGCATGGGGTATAAATCCAGAAGTTCCAACATCTGTCTGTCTGAAGTTTAGAAGGAAAGGCATCCAAAGGATTATATAAGGAAACATTAGAACCAAACTGGTGTCAGACTATCACCAACATCGTACTAAAAAAACACTGAAGTAACAGCTTCAAACTTAAAATCGTATACCTAGCCAAACTAACATATGTGGCTGAACACAAGAACAGAAATAGAAGCCTGCAGCTTCTTACCACTAAAAATAAACCCCTAAGTGAGACAGATGATCAATACAACAAAAAGCAGGTGGGGGTGGCATTAAGGAAGAAACAAAAAGGATACTTAAGGTAGGAACATGAAATATGTCAGTAATAACAGAAAATGTAAATAGGTTGAATCTCCACTTAAAAATTTTTTCAAAGTATTTAAAGTAAAAAATAACTACATGCAGCCTATACGGCATGACCTAAAACAAAATGACAAGTCAAAAAAGGATGTAAAGTCAGTATTAAATAAAATACCACTCAGAACTTGGAGCACAGAATAGCAGTTTCATTGGTAAAAAGTACAGTCTGCCAAGAAAACATCAATCATGGACCCTGTGTGCTTAATAAAACTTCAAATTTGCCCAGCAAGGCTAGTGTGGCTCAGTGGATTGAGCATCATCCCATGGACTGAGAGGTCCCGGGTCGATTCCCTGCCAGGGCATGTGCCAGGGTTCCGGGCTCAATCCCCAGTAGTGGGTATGCAGGAGATAGCCGATCAATGTATTTCTCTCACACTGATGTTTCAATCTCTTCCTTCCTCTCTTAAAAAAAAAAAAAAAAAAATCAATAAAAACATTTTTAAAAAATCAATAAAAACAAAAAAAATATAAAACTTCAAAATAATGAAACAATTACTTTTGACACTAAATATAAAAAAGGAAAACATTGTTTCCATTTCTTGCAAAAAGTTTACAATGTTGCTAAGTCACTGAGAACATGGCTAATGCACATCTTAAAATACTAAGAGGTCTGGCCCTGGCTAGTATGGCTCAGTAATTAGATTGTCGGCCCAAAGACCAGAGACCCAAGTTCGGTTCCCACTAGGGAACGTACCTCAGTTGCAGTTTGTCCCAGTCCCCGGTTGGGGTCATATGGATGGCAGCCAGTTGATGTACATCTCTCTCACATTGATGCTTCTCTCTCTCTCTCTTCTTCCCTTTCTCCCTCCTGTTCTCTCTGAAGTTAAATGTACATCCGATAAAAAAAAGTAACAAAAGAAAACACTAAGGTCTATTTATATAGAAAATAATGTGGCATGGAATACTACTGAGCTATAAAAAAGAAAATCTTATCTTTTGTGACAGCATGGATGGACCTGGAGAGCATTATGCTAAGTGAAATAAGCCACAGAAAGATGCACCATACGATTCACTAATAACACTCATATATGGAATCTAATGAACAAAATGAACTAACAAGGAAAACAGAGACTGACTCATAGAGAGCAGGCTGACACCTGGAGGGGAGGGGCCTCAGTGGTAAGTGGTGGAGGTA